TGAGGTTAATGTGTTTTTTTCAAAGTTTAATTTACATAATATTTACTATTTAAATATTATGTACTTTCTTAAAAAATTAGAGAAAAACATATTTCATCTCATTGTTTAGAAGCAAACATAAAATTCATAAAAAAAATAAAAATAAAAATAATTCAAAGATTAATATAATCAATTCACAACTTAATACAGTCAATTTGCAGCTTAAATACAATCAATTCACATTTAGTACAATAAATTCACAATTTAATACACAAAAATTATAAATTCCAAACCATATTTTTAACTTAAAACTTGTATTTATACCTTGATATTTGGAGGCTAGTGTTATTTAAAAGTTTATTTACATAAGATTTATAGTTCAAATTTTATGTATTTTATTCAAAATTAGGTAAGACTAGATTTATGTATATTGCTTCTTTCATCTCATATTTTAGATCAAACATAAAATTCATAGCAAATTCATAGCTTAAGACACTCAATTCATAGCTTAATACAGTAAATTCACATTTAATACACAAAAATCACAGTTTAATATAAGAAAATCTCAGTTTAGTACAATATATATATATATATATATATATATATATATATATATATATATATATATATATATATATATATATTCTCAGCTAAAAACTTACATTTCAAGAATTTTATTTACAATTTAATAAAATAGTTTATGAGTCTCATTTAGAGAATGCACCATACAAATTCACAATTTAATAGAGTATTTCTTGACTCTCATTCATAGTTTAATAAACACAATTCAGGACTCTCAATCATAATATTCACAAATTAAGAACATACCTGATTTTGTTGAAACATTCATCAAACACCTTTTGTGCATCATACAAATCAGATCTGACATAGATATGATTCAGTGGTGGAACCACTGCTAGCCGCCATGAGATGCTTTGTGCACACTAGATCTATGCCTGAATGACACAAAACACATAAGGTGTAACCAGATCTGAGAAATTAGTGCATCTTTAACTTTAGATCTGAAAGGTTGATGGTAATTTGTGACTTTTCTGACGATCTAAGGTTGTAGAACCACTAGTTGACAACATGAAATGCTTTGTATACACCAGATATATACCTGAAATTGCACCAAACACATCAGATTTGATCAGATCTAACCAGATCTGATAAATCAGTGTCTTTGACTTCAGATCTAAAAAGCTAATGGTTGTTGATGATTTTTTGGTGATCCGAGGTGAGGAATCGATGATGGTGGAATAGATCTGATGTGGGGGTAGAACCACCACCAAACAACACTAAAAGGATAGATCTTATTAAAAAAAATAACTAGATCTTACCAAAAAACATCAAAAGGCGATGGAACAACCATTAGTCACTAGAGAAGGAGATTTTTTGTCATTTCTTGTCATATCTTATCACAACAACACTTTTTTGGCTTCAGATTTGCTCCGGTGAAGTTGGCTGCTGAAAAAATCTTGAAGAAGCATAAACCACATATCTGGATGAAGGTGGAGACAAAACAGATTTAAAGGGAAATGAGGATCCTCACCATAAGTTCATAGATCTAGAGACAAATATTGTAGATCTGAGGCGAAAATTAAAGCTCTGGAACCGATAAAAGCTTGTACATTTGATAGTGGTGGTTAACCAGTGGTAGGAGATGGCGAAGTAGATGGTGCGGCGGTCGACGATAGATCTGAAGCTGAAAAAGCTTCATGAGGTCATTTTCAGTGGTGGTTCCACATCTAAGGGACGTTGTGCGACCGATGGAAACGTCCGTTGATGTGTAGTTGTCTTCGATGGTGATGGTGACGTTTTCATATCTGAAGAAATCACACAAAAAACAACATAATTAATCATATTAGAGTGATATCGACATAGATCTAGAAGTGATGGTTGCAGATCTGAAGGTGGTGGTTCTAGATCTAAAGGCGGTGGTTCTAGATTTGAAGGCGTCAGATCAGGATCTGAAGGCGGTAGTACCAGATCTGAAAGTTGTGGTCTACCGTCGGCGATATTCTCCTGCTGGCGGTGATGTCAGCGGTGATACAGGCGGAATGAAAGGGGTTTATATTAAATCAATGGACAAATTGGTGGTTCTCATTTGAACTTTCTCTCTCTCTCTCTCTCTCCATATATATATATATATATATATATATATATATATATATATATATATATATATATATAATGTGGGTGGACAACTATTGTGTAGACGTGTAGACAATGTTATTCTATGAGAATTAGTAAAAGAATAAGTTGTTTAGTAATGTAAATACGTTCAACTTCACACAATTATTGATATTTCCATGCATTCTCACTAATTCGTATTCATTTTTGTTCGCACACATCTTTTCTCCCTCATTTTTATTATTACGGAATACGACTCAATAAAAATCCTAACAATATTCTGATAGAATGAAAATAATAAAAAAAAAATCTATAATAACCATATAGATGATTTAGTTGGTGAGAATGCATGATAATGATAATAGTTATGTAAGATTAAACGTATTCACATTATCATTCTCACAAAATAACATTGTCCACATATCCACCAAAATAGATGTCAATCCACATTTGAACCCCTCTCTCTCTCTCACTATATATATATATATATATATATATATATATATATATATATATATATATATAGGGTGACGTTCAATAAAAAACCATAATTAACCAAGGAACCAATCGTAAGCATCGAAAATCATAACGATCAACAGCCAAGAAAATAGATGTACACTTTTACATTGGACGCACACACACCGGATTATACAAAAAAAATTCACCCTTTACAAAAAAATCCACCACTTTTTTTCGTTAAATTTTTTTTAAGCCTTGTGTTTTATCAAAAAAAAATGAATATACCGTTGTTCACGATTTTTCGTTCTCTTTCCATAGAGTTTCATGATGATATATAAAAAATGAATTTTTTTTCGTAAATAACTCACTTCATTTTCTTTAATTAAAAAAGTTAAGGTCTATTTTTTATAGAAAAAAATAAATAAATATATCAAAATTCATATTTTTTGTACTTTTTAAACATGGATTCATATTCAATTTAAAAAAAAAACGATATTTTAGTTCAGGTTCACATTGTGAACTTGTTCAGATTCATATTGTAAACCTATTCAGATTCATATTGTAAACCTGTTCAGATTCAAATTGTGAACCTCCTCAGAATCACAGTGTGTATAATAATAAATCAGATTCACAGTGTGAATCTGAACTGATCGGAGCTTTTTCACATTGTGAATGTTAAAATTTGAAATATTTACAGTATAGATTCACAATGTGAATGTACACTGATCGAGTTTTTTTTTTGAATCTGAACTGTTCGAGATTTTTCATATTGTGAATGTTAAAAATTAAAATATTTACAGTTTAGATTCACAGTGTGAATCTACACTGTTCGAGGTTTTTTTTTATTTTTTAATCGGTGTTGATGTTTATTAATAGAGTACAAAAAATTAGTATTTTTGGTATAATTAGTTTTTTTTATATATATAAAAAAAGCTTAAATATTGAAAAAACATAAGAAAATTAAGTGGTTTTTTTTTTTTTTTTTTTTTAAATCGTTTTTTATATATCATCATGTATCTCTATGGAAAGAGAACGAAAAATCGTGAACAACGATATATTCAGATTTTTTTTTTGATAAAAAAATTGGCCTAAAAAAATTTTAAATGAAAAAAATGAAGTGGGTTTTTTATAATCCGGTACATGTGCGTCCATCATAAAAATTTACAAGCTTTCTTTTTACTGTTGATCGCTTTCCGATGCTTTGGATTGATTCCTTTAATAAAAATGGTTATATATATATATATATATATATATATATATATATATATATATATATATATATATATATATATATATATACTAGCAGTGCACCCGCGCAAAGCGGCGGGGCGTGTAAATTCTTTTAGTGATATGTTTCCTCTACAAAAATGTTATGTTACAAAAGAAAGTACACGTCGAAGACAAAATAATCAAACTATGGTGTTATTTGAGAAATGAAGTCATTTTTTGTTCCTGGACAGTGGACTTTATAGTAGAGGAGGGAGCAAAGAGGTATATGCGATTGGAGGGATATTTGAATCAACATGCTAAATTTAAGGATATCTAAAAGGGTTCAAAATTTGAATGAATCCGAGATTTGAGGAAACCATATCAAATTGTTGAGAAATATAAGGAGATTTGATGATAAATATTTGAATTCAAAATATGGTTAAAATTTAATATTAATTTATTAATGATTACTTATACTATCAGCTTCATCATTTGGACGTCTTAAAAAAATATTATTATTATAATCAATCTATTTTTAGAAATAGTTAGATTTCTTTTATAAGATAGTAAAGATATATATATATATATATATATATATATATATATATATATATATATATATATATATATATATATATATATATATATTATATTACATTTTTGTAAGCCAATGAAGGGGGTTTATATTAACTCAGTTAGAAGTTACGATAAATAAAAACAAATTTTGATATTTACTCACAAATGTAGAATAATTCCTTTTTAATCTTATTTGAGAATGTTCAAAAATAAATTATGATTGATATCTTAGTCTGAAGATAGGAGTGAGATAAGTTGTAAAAAGTATAATCTATTTTTTGTTCTGACTACTTGGCAGGGGAATCAATTGTTGCTCTTAGGCGGATGAAGCCGGACATGAAACCTAACTTCAACTCACTGCAACCATTGTTTTTTTTTTTAACAAATTTTCATATTTTTTGTCCTTGAAATTTTCCAAAATTGTTGCTCTTATTCTCCTCGTCAATCATTTGTAATGTTTAATTTTTTTTTTCATATGGAGTGCAAGGCAAAAATTGAATACATAATTTTAAAAAGAAAAGAAAAGAAAGCATACTTATTCATGTATAGGCATTGGAAACGTAGCAAACAGGTAGAACCCAACACAAAGTAGCCCTTATTGCTAATTAATTCAAAAAAAAGCAAACCATGTAAATCCAAGAACTTCACATGTCTGAGAGAGATGTGGAGAAAACCGGGATACTTTGTGGGTGCCTAAAGAAATTCTCGGGATCAACTTTGGCCTTGATTCTAATCAACTTCTTGAAATTTGCCCTCTTCCAGTACCTCTCACCCCATAGACTTGCTTCCTGATAATTCGCATTTCCAACACCGAAATCAAGATCATTGTAGTTGGAATATGCCTCTCTTGGGTTCTTTGACACATAAGGCGTCAATAACTCATCCAAGCTATTCAGCCATGCTATCCTGCTCAGTGATACAGGTGTTGTGTCTGAAGTTTGACCTGCAAAATTGACAGTCTTGAGCATCTGTAACACAACACCACCTCTATGAGGATATGGAATGGCTGTCTCTGAGTAATCAGACATCCTTCCTCCAAAAGGATTGATCATCAGAAGCGCTGATTCGTCATTTTCCATTAGCTTTTTCCATATCTTGTTGAGCCCACTTATAGGGATCGGTTTTCGGACGTAGTCAGATTTACTTTTGTTGTTGAGCTTGGCTATGGCAGATCGGTTAGTGAGAAACTCAGTTGGGGTAGAGCTTGGCAATCCCCAAAACACAAGGGTCGATTGGACCATTGTAATTTCTTCACAAATCTCTGGTGTAACACCGAGCTCCGGAAATTTTTCGTACAATAATGGAAGCAATGTGTCGGTTGTGCCCTGATAAATACCTTCGAACATAACTCTGATGGTTTTCATGGTGGTGTTGCCGATATACTCGGAAAAAATCTGAGTTCTCATATGTAAATTTCTATCAATAAGAGGTAGAACGTATTGATATTTATGGAAAATCTCGGTTACACCGTCTTCTAAAGTTTTGTTGAGTATAAAGACAGTTACTCTTTCTGGAACTTCAACCAACCCAAGCTTCCATGCAAGAACGATTCCGAAACTGGAAGCACCACCACCTCGAATCGCCCAAAACAAATCTTCTCCCATCGAATTCCTGTCGAGAATATTTCCATTGACATCCATGAACCGAACATCCACAACATTATCAGCAGCAGTACCGTATTTCCTCAACAAGTTTCCATAGCCAGCACCGCCCATGTACCCGCCAACACCCACCGTAGGGCAAACACCTGCCGGAAAGTACAGGGTGTCGGTTTTTTGAGAAATAGCGTAGTAAACTTCACCAAGGGCAGCACCTGCCTGGACCCATGCAGTCTTATTAGCTACGTCCACATCTATAGATCTCATGTTGGTGAAATCAAGCATAACAAATGGAACATCAGCAGTGTAGGAGAGACCCTCGTAGTCATGCCCCCCGCTCCTGATTCTGAGCTCGTAGTCATACATCTTGGCACAATATAAAACTATTCTGATGAGTGTTTCATTCACAGGTGTCACGATGGCTGATGGTTTTGGAGTGGAAGGTTTAAGGAACCTAGTGTTTTGGACATGCACTTGCCAAGCGGGTAAGAAAGAAGCATTGGCAGGGGTGAAAATGAGCTCAGAGACGGAGGTGACATTGCTGGAATTGGATAATACGCAGCTTGTGAAATCTTCAGCATCTGATGTAGCCTTAAGAATGGAAGATAAGGCAGCCCATGAAAGAGAAAATGAAAGAGTTATAATCAAGAGGAAGATAGAAGAGCTTAGTTGAGACTTCTTCATGTTTTGGTGAGTTTGATCTATGCCTATGCTGTATTTTATATAGAGTAGAGAGCGTAGGTGACTGCAAATGGGATTATAATATATAGTTGAATGCCAATGGGATTGGAAAAAACCTTGGAATTTGAGGATGATGACTATATTTCAGTAATGACCGAGGATTGAAAATGTATTTCGTATTTTTCCAACAGTGGGTTTCGAATTCCACAAATCAACAGACACTGAAAATAGTTTAAAATCATTGACTTTTAGCCTTTTAGTTCTAAACTATTACGACAAAAAAAAAAAAAAAAAAAAAAAACTCTGTTGAATTTTGAGGTATATGTGTTATTTGTCAAATATCTAAAATATAATAGAATATATTCATATAATGTATGACTATAGAAATTTGACCGAGACCTGTAAACCGGTTTTTTTTTTATTAATTCTTATTGTTGCAAAATAATTGTATAAATAATAAACATTTTTAAACAATGAAATTTTAATAAAAAAAGGTCAACGGTTAAAGATGTGTGTTTCGTTACTTTGTATCCTTTTTATTGCATTTAATTTTAAACTATTATCACATTTTGTGAATTTTGGTCATTTGTTAGATATTTAAATTATAAACTAAAGAAAAAATTGCAAAAATGGTACCTGTGGTATGCGTTTTTTCTGAGTTTAGTTCAAACCTCGATTTTTTTGGTTTTATAGTTATTTTGAGTTAGTTTCATTGTGAATTTGATTACTGGATAAACTGAAATAACTTTAATATTTTTGGGTATTTATTTCTATTTATAAAATTCATTTTTTTAAAAGTTTAATAATTATGTATTCATTTTAATATCTAAAAAATGATAGGGCCTCTCTCTCTCTCTCTCTTTCTCTCTCTCTCTCTCTCTCTCTCTCTCTCTCTCTCTCTCTCTCTCTCTCTCTCTCTCTCTCTCTCTCTCTCTCTCTCTCTCTCTCTCTCTCTCTCTCTCTCTCTCTCTTCCTCTCTCTCTCTCAGCTGACGATTAAACTCATTAATGGCAACCAAACTAGAATCAAGATCCCTTCAAAATGCACATTTGGCTATATTCAAAAAAATTATGCTCAAACAAATCTATTTTACAATTTCTTCCAAAAGTTTGTTCAACTATGATCGCTATATTCCTAATTATTGGTGCAAAATCCCAAACGATCCTAACATAGGTTTTTTGCTTTTGCATTTCGAATCCTAGTTCGCTACTGTTAAAAATCCTAGTTCGTATTCCCATTTCCTCCAAAATAAAATGATGTTATAGGTTCATAATCTTGAATTTTTGGAAGTTTCAGTGAATTGTGACCATTTCTTGAGGTTATGTTAAGGTTGTGATCGATTAATATCATTCAAAGCTAACTTACATGAAGAACGGAGCTTCAATGATGTTGTAGAAGTAAATCATTTAAAGTGAATCAGACTCCATCAGATTTTCATCTTAGGTTTAAGATTTATAGAATGGGGAGAAATTACTGTTTAGGATTCACAGCATGTAACGACCAAATTTTCAAAAGAAAATTTTCATTTTTAATTAATTAAATACATTTCCATAAACGATGAAATTCCCAACACAATTGTTTTCAAATCCACATTCATTACAACTTTATTTAAAAACACCAGAGTGTCCCATAAAACGTCGGTGAGAGAGTGCACGCCGCACCATCAAGCATTGCCCTTCCCCTTGGGCTCAGATGTATCTGAAACAAATCCACAAATTGTAAGCTAATGTTTAGTGAGTTCCCCAGAGCATACCCACACACAAACCACATACAACATATAATACTAAGTATAACAACTATATATACCATATAAGCATGCATACAATAGATAGGGATGTCGTGCGCTCGTCCCCAGAGTTTTACTCCAGGATGTCATGGGCTCCCCATATGGTCTTATACCTAAGTGCCATGGTCTCTTCCGTGGTCTTCGATAGGAAAGCCATTGGCTCCCCACATGGTCTTACATCCAAGTGTCATGGGCTCTCCCATGGTCTTCTACACATACAAATCACATATATCACTAGCATGCTTCCTAGCTCAACAAACTATCATACCACATAATACAGCTACAACTAGGATGCTAAATACAATAAAACGAGTCGACCTTGGTGCCTTAGACCCATTAGTATGGTAAGGAGACTCACCTCTGTCTATGGAATCTAAAGGCTGCTCTTCTAACAATCAGTAAACACTCGTCCTTAACAATAATAATATTACTCAATGTTAGGATCAAACACCATCTAAGTAGGGAACCCAAATCCCTAAGTCCTTTCACAAAGCCCCAAAAGGTCTTCCTTAATTAATGGACCAAAAGTCTATTTCCAAAGTCATTAATGGTCCTCATGGCCCAATAAAGCCCAATTATAACATCCATTGTCCAAAACATATAAACTAGCCCGCCTAACCCCAAAACATTACCAGGCCCAATGACTAATTAAGGCCTAAAAGCTCAAAGGACCAATACAAATCCAAGTTCATATGATGTGCGTACGCTTAGCGTACCACCCTGGTACGCACAATGTACTGTGTTATTGGGCCTTACGCACTGCGTACGCTAGGTTACGCCGAACCTACTAACAGATTAAGCACTTTCTCCATTAAGTGCTTAATACTCGATTTTCTCGCATCGGATAGTTAGATCTAAGCTTATTAAGACAACCTAGGGCATAAAGTTGGCAACTTTATGCCTTTGCATGTCTCATATGTTCCCAACAATCCTATTAAGACATTTTCATGGATCTTAATACATGCATGAGGTCTAAACACCCATCAAGACTTCATTTTTATGTTATGAATGGACCAAAGGACCTTAGATCTAACATTTCCAGCCTCTAGAGTTGCTCAACTCACAAGAGGAGATCCAAAACCAACAAATAGAAGAAAAAAAACTAGAAAACCCTAGCTAGATCTAATGATTAAGATGGAAAAATCAAAGCTTTATACCTCCAAAAGCACTTCAAGGTGAAGTAGATGTAGATTCTTGAAACCCAATGCCACTCCAAGCTTGCTTGACAACTTCTTCATCATGAATGGACACTAAAATGGCCAAAAAGGCACTCCTTAAACTCAAAACACACACTCAAATGATATTAGGGTTTTCAAAGACGTTTGTAGGTGAAAGAGGATGATTACGGTGAGGCTCAAATAAGATAAGGCTTCTTACATAGGTCTCAAGTTCGAAAATTAGAGTTTAAACATCTACCACGTACGCCCAACGTACGTGCAGTCCCTCCGCGATCAATCATACATAGTACGCTAAGCGTACCCATGAGTACGGCCAACGTACTAAAGGGACTTATTATGCAAATTTTAAAATTCTCAAGGGCTTCATGTAACACTCTGTTTATTAGATAGATAAATTAATTAATTAATGAATGTATAGTAGCCCTAAAATCAATTATTATATAGCAAGGTGTTGGTTTTGGGAAGCTAAATGTCATAAGTTGGATCATTCGGGGTTTAAAGTATAAAGTAGAGATTTAATTTGTAAAAAGTTTTAAAAGTCAGGGGGTGTTTGGTAATTATTGGACTTGCATGGAAAGAATTTTGGAAGGCTGTGGGTTAAATGGTAACTTTTGGGACTTTAATTGTAAGGAATTATTACTAATGGGGGTTAATTGGTAAATAACATATTTAATTTGAAAAGGTTATGCGTGGGAAGGACTGGAATCTTCGATTTTGTATAGATTTGTATGGAACATGGGATTTAATGGGTGTATTTTTCCCTCCTTGTTTCATCATTTAAACCTAACCCTAGACTCACGTATCCTTCAGCCGCCACACTCTCTTTGATCACCTCTAGTCGTTACAACCCTCTTTGTAGTTCCGATCAAGCAAGAACAGTGTGCATAGGTTTCCAGTCGACGTCGCTGCCGCCATTAAAAGCCGTTATCCAGTCATGAGAAACCATCGCGACCATCCCATCTACCGGTGAGGGCGATCATTACAACTGTTTCATTGTCATTTGACCACCGTAACCACCGCCATGACGAGCGCTATTGCTGCTGCCCCTTCGACAACGACGGACGAGGATCGAGCGCCTCCTTCTTCACCAAGGTCGGCCAATTCATTTTGTTGTAGTGTTTATTGTAGATTCATTACTGATATGTCTGATATGCATGTATATGTGGTATGCTAGTGAGTATGTAGTATGCTATTGACTATGTGGTATGTGTTATGCTAGCTGTCTTTGTGATATTTGCATGGAAGACCATAGGGGGAGCCCATGACACCGGATGTAAGATCATGTGGAGAGCCCATGGCTTTCCTATTAAAGACCACGGGGGAGCCCATGACACTTAGGTGTAAGACCATGCGGGAGCCCATGGCATCCTTGAGTAAGACCTTAGAGGGAGCCCACGACATTCGTATATGTTTATGTGCATGGTTATGTGATTGATATGGATATGTGTTTGATATGGATTTGTGATTCATATGGTTTTATGGAGCTGTTATAGCTTATATGGAGTATGTGGTTATGTGGATTGTATGGGGTATGCTCTCGGGAACTCACTAAGCTTTGTGCTTACAGTTTTGTTTATGGTTTCATGTAACATCCCAAAAATACGAACCAAAAATTTTTCTTTAAATCATTACTAAAACCATAACATATCATAACACAAAACATAATTCAGAGTATTAATTCCAAAACATGGTTGCATTATTAGAGTAAAACATCCCAGGCTGACAAATGAATGGTGTGTGCCATGCGATCACCCCGAGCTCTTCCCTCCGCTACCGGAAATACCTGAAACCAAAACTAAAAATCGTAAGCACGAAGCTTAGTGAGTTCCCCAACCTACCACATACCATACGATCACAAAGCATACATATTGCATGTACTGGGTCACGCCCGCTATTTCGGGCCCCGCCCCTCCAGTCCCCGCCTGGCTTCGAGCCCTGCTCGGATATAGATCTGTTTCTTTTACGCCCTGCCTGTCTCTGGGCCTCGCCCACTAACCACATAATACAATTAGCATATACCACATAACTAAACATACCCT